AAATAAAGGCCCACACACACACACACACACACACACACACACACACACACACACACAATAAATAAATAAATAACTAAATAAATACATCTAATTTGATGCAGCCGTATCCTCAGATGAGGCAGCTGAATAAAGCAGCTGGTCAACTTTAAAAGAGGAACTGATTCCAAACTGGAAAATAATTAGGGAAAATATTTTCAGTCAGAGGAGATTAATGTGGTGCAAGAATGAAAAATATAGAAAAGACATTTGTGTCTTGTGATGGGAAACTGAGTTGCACTTCAGGAAGCAGCTACAAAACAACGTGACTTCATGCACTAAGTTTAAAAACACTGCCCTCTCCTACCACATATTTTTTATTTCAAATACAACTTTAGAAAATATATTGAGCAAAATAAGATCATGACAATGTTACTATTTGTGCTAAAGTATAACAAAGAAAAAAATATTTATTTATGTCACTCACAAGAGTCAGGATGGAATAAGACGCACAGAGAATGTGGAAGAAAATGAAACAGAGATTTTATGCTCCATCAGTGAAGCAGCACCTACTCATCACTCTCTTTTGTCTTAGGATGCACCTGCAGGCCTCCTCTCCTTATTTATGTCTCTATGAAAATAAAGAAATCAAATGCCACTTCTATTAAAAATAAGAAAGAAATGTATGTCTCATGTACAGGTACATGCAAAAAGAGGCAAAGATTAGATGCAACAGTCAGATGTCTCCTCCTGATAAGTGAAACATTTAGAATGATTTTATTTAACCCTTGTGCTCTGTTCGGGTCTGTGGGACCCGGAGTCACTTGTCACCTTAAATAAGACAATAGCACAAGGGTTAAAAACTAAATCAAAATAAAGTACACAGAAATACAAAAATGTAACATTAATGACTACAGGTTGTAAATTAAACTTGAAAACATGCTCTGTAAAATGCATTTGTCACATAAAAAATATAGACTTAATACATAATTGAAGTTACAATCAGTGTTACAGTAGATAAAATACTGTGAAAACAATAAAGAATGCAGAATTATAAAAGATAAAATGACATGACTACAGGTTGTAAATTAAAGTTTTCACCTACACTGGCAGCAACCACTAAACTAAAGTGACATTTCACTCCACAGAAGAAAAGAGACCGACACACGTCACCATGCAGATTTACCCAAAGCTCCTCCTCCTGTCAGTCCCTCTCAGTTTCAGTGCTGTATTAAACTGCTCCTCCACCACCTCCTCTCCTCATCCTCCAAACCCTCTGATCTGTCAGCAGTAAGCTCACTCTCCAAGTGACAAGGCCATTCTCAGCACACAGGGACAACATGCTGGGGACCCTCTGCGCTCTCATCACCGCTCTAACATGTAAGGAGGCTGACGTACTGCGGCGTTGACCTCATGTGGGATTCATCAGTCTGTGTGTTTCTCTTGACTCCATGTCCTCTTGTTGTTTCCAGGTGTGAGTGGTGTGACAGTGGTGACACAGAAGCCTCCTGTTATGACAGTGAGGAAAGGAGAGACAGCCACCATGGACTGTAACCTGGGGACTGTTACTGCTCATAGTGCTGTATGGCATAAACAGATTCCAGGAGGAGTTCCTCAGTATGTGCTGAAGTTTCATCATTCCTTTAGCTCTCCAACTTATGGCTCTGGGTTCTCCTCTCCCAAATTCACATCAAACCATCAGTCACAATCAGATTATCGTTTGATCATTAACAACATGGAGGAGGGAGACTCAGCAGTCTATTACTGTCACACATTCGACAACTTTGTTAACCAGTACGTATCACAGTGATTTACACTGTGACAAAAACCTCCTCACTAAACACTTCTGCTTTTTCACTTGGTTGATTCATCATCATGAGAGTAAACCTTACTGTGATGTCTTTGAGTTACATCTGTCATTATATACAGTATCTGTAAATATTATATCAATATGTTTAAAAGTAATAATGAATGGAAATTGCAAAGAAATTGAAAATTGATTAAAACATTTTAAAATAAATAAAATCATGTGATCATATCTATTAGATTTCTTGATGTTAACACCATAGTATGTTTAATAGATAATTATTGCAAGTACTGAAGTTATTTATACTGATGAAATGGACATCATCAGGTTTACAAACATCAATTTAAATCTATGTGATTATAGTCCCCAGCAGTGATAACAATATGATAACAAAATGGGTCAATTAAACAAAAAAAAACGTGTCTTCATGAATTTAACAACATATTTGTTTTAAAATTTGAAATACATCAAGTAAATATAACTTAATCATGAGCAGTGTTTGGTATAAATGAAACTCTTCACTTTATGCTGAGTTTGTAGCACCTTTCTCTGGCCTCTCACGATAAGATTTAAGCTGCGATGACGAATGTTTATCCACCAATACAGTATCCATATCACAGTCAAGTTGAATTGTCAGATAAATGCAGATAATTTGGTCTTTGTTCAGCTACGTGTGACAGAATAGACTCCTTTTTATATCATTTGTGGAATTAATTTAAAGGCTTTATTGCCTAAATTGCACCAACATGTGGATTTTCCATTGAGAGGAGATAAAACATTAGACTTGGTGTACACAACATGCAAGGAAGCATACAAGGCCTCCTCCCCTCCCCCACCTGGGTCTCTAATCACATCACCATCATGCTGAGACCTGCATACAGACCCAGATTGAGAACCATCAGACCAACACAAAAGGAGGTACGTGTGTGGCCGGAGGGGGCTTCCTATGCTCTGAAGGACTGTTTTAACACTACAGATTGGGATATTTTCAAACAAGCAGCCACTTATAACAACCATATAGACATAGAGGAATACACTGAGGCTGTCACCGCCTACATCACAAAATGCATTGTTGATGTTACTTACAGCAAAAACATCACTGTTCATGCCAACCAGAAGCCATGGCTGACAGATGAGGTTCACAGACTCCTGAGGGCTCAGGATGCAGCCTTTAGGGCCGGCAATACCGCAGGCCTAGTAACAGCAAGAGCCAACCTGTCCCGTGGAATCAGGGAGGCCAAATATCAATACAGCAAGAAAATATCTGGACACTTTAGCAACACCAGAGATGCACTGAGTCTCTGGCGGGTCATTCAAACCTTCACAGACTATAAACTCCCACCCCAGATTTGCCATAGTGACATCTCTCTGCTGAACAGCCTCAATGACTTTTCTGGCTGGTGAATGAAGATGAGGGAAGGCTAGCACCTGAGCCCGCTGAATCCATTGTTGGCCGGAGCATTCTGTTATGATTTAGTCCCTCTCACCAGGAGGGTGAGGGAGGGAGAACTGAGGTAAGACTCAAGAGTGCAGACCCAGGTGCTAGTAAAAATGGTTTAATGGTGGGATCACAAAAAGTAACAGAGTCAATGAATACATACAACCAGTGTCGGACAGAGATGGTTGAGGGGACCAGGACGAGCAGATGAGTAGACAAAACAATGACAGGAACCAGGAGAGTTAGAGGACTAGAATGGACAGGTGAGTAGACAGAATAACCAGGACGACTAGCGAACATATGCAGGGAAGCAGAGTAGCAATGAGAAAAAAAGAAATCAACTTACGCATATCTACACACATGAAAACATACCAAAGAAATCCACAGCACAGGAACTGTTAGCGTGGACATCGAAGTACACATGGCTAAACTCATGGGGAAAAAAAACACATAAAGATCCACAGCACAGGAACTGTCAGCACGGAAATCAAAAAGACCTATCACACATACAAACGAATACAGGTATGTCTATAGGATTTAGGTATAATACTCCGGTGAAGACGGAGCCTCTGCCAGAGGATTAAATAAAGGAGCAGGATATCATAGGAATGCACCCCAGCTGTGCGCACTTACAAACGAGTCACTCATTACTGAATGGAACACAGCTGAGGTGCCGATCCCGCAGGTCAAGAGAGAGAAAAAGGAGGAAGAGGGGCAGGCCGCGCCCAGTGGACCTGACAGCCGCTTTGAAACACAGAACAACACACTGGCACAGAAGACCACCCCTCCCCTGGGCGAGCAGGCTGTGTGTCTGTCCGCAGCCAGCATGAAGAAGACCCTCTCCAAGATCAACCCAGGCAAGGCAGCTGGACCGGATAACATATCTGATCATGTTTTAGGAATGTGCTGAGATGCTCAAGGATGTCCTTACAGACATTTTTAAATACGTGAGACTGCAATTTTAATTTATTTAATTTTTTTTATACAATGCCTCTGTAACAGTTAGGCTGAGAAAAGTGCAGCTATATGCTACTTTTCTTTTGTTTATCTTCCTC